AGCCGGAAGACTGGAACTAAATGTCTGTCACATGAAGATGTCAAATTGTAGAAATATTAGCATGCTTACTTTGAGGGAGTGAAATTTCAAGAAACAGAGGTTCTGTGTCATTGAAGACAAGGGGATACTGCAGAATCAAAGCTAGAATGTGTGTCTCTGTGTTTTAAATGAAACACTGGTAATTAGAACACAAGATATCTACAGGATAGCTTGTAGACCTGTTATCTACCTCTCTTGCTTATTGTATGGGGGGAAAATCCTACCCTGTTGAAAGTGAATATAATAGAAATGTTTCGAATTCCATTTACTGAAGAGAGATTGAGCAGAAAATTAAAAGGAAATTAATAGCTATTGAATGGTATTACACCTATATCCCAGAGCAACAAATCATACTATTTTTCCTCATTTGAACCTTATTCATGAGAGTTTTGTTGTTAACTTGATCCAGGTGACAGATCAAAGCATAGTTCCCTATTGCCACCTTGCTAAAATATTTTTTTTAAAGACAGTTTTAATATTATAGTTTTACAGTTACAGATTGCTGTTAAGCTATTTAGTCTGTTACCAGTCAATCAAAAACTTTCATTTCACTTCAGCAGATCCTTACTCAACAGAATTTTAGAAGAACAAGAAATATCTGTCAGTTTTCTTACAGTGCTAGATCATAAATTCTTTGGTTAGTGGTTTAAAAATTTAGTTACACATACCATTCATGACCTTGTGACAGCTTAGCAAATAGTGATATTGAATGATCAAAGACAACTGTTTCAAGCCCTAAGGGTTAATATACCTGTGCACCTCGATTTAAGCTGCTTTTAATCCCTCTATCATTCCTTTATTTCAAAATGGATGCAGTATTTATTGAATGTAGTCCATAAATTTAAAGCAAAAAAATCTCAGGAAACTGTTAGGCTAAAACTAGTAAGGCTATACATGGTCTATAGGAGATGCGGTTAATTGGTACTGACAGTGCACTCTGCTCCCTCATCCAGGTAGTTGATGAATATATTAAATAGCACTACTCCCAGTACCGACCCCTGAGGAACTCCTCTAGATACAGACCTCCAGCTAGGCTCTGTCCCACTGACCACAACTCTCTGACTTCTTCCCTTCAACCAGTTCACAATCCACCTCACTACCCGATCATCCACGCCACACTTCCTGAGTTTAGCTACGAGGATGCTGTAGGAGACAGTGTCAGGTGCTTTACTGAAATCAAGATAAACCACATCCACTGCACTGCTGTCATCCATCCACCTGGCTATGTCCTCATAAAAGGCTATCAGGTTGGTCAAACATGAGTTCCCTTTGGCAAAGCCTAGCTGACTGCTCCTAATGCCTGTCTTATCCTTGATATGCCTAGAGACAGCACCAAGGATAAGTTGTTCCATCACCTTTCCAGGGATGGAGGTGAGGCTGACCGGTCTATAGTTACCCGGGTCCTCCTTCTTGCTTCTTTTTGAAGACTGGAGTGACATTTGCTTTCCTCCATTCCTCAGGCACCTCTCCTGTTGCCTAAGACTTCCCAAAGATGATGGAGAGTGGCCTAGCAATGACTTCCACCAGCTTCCTGAGCACCTGCGGGTGCATCCCATCAGGGCCCATGGATTTATGGATGTCCAGGTTGCCTAACTGATCCCCAACTCAGTCCTCATCAACCAAGATAAACTCCTCTTTTATCCTGACTTCCTCTGGGGCCTCAGGGCTCTAAGGCTCCTGAGGACAGTGCCCAGCAGTATAGACAAAGACAATTAGGCAATCTCTTGTGCTTTCAAAAGAAGTCCATGAGTATTTACTGTGATAAACCAGTGTCCTAAAATGTATATATGCTTTTCTGTGTGTTTGTATATGTGCTTGAATGTAGGTTTAGGGGTGTAAAGCCCTGCGATCCTGAACTACTTTGAATGTGGTTGATTAATTTCTTCCTGAAATAAAAATGCACCTGGCATTTCAAATATTGGAGATTAGAAGAGTTAGCAAGGGAAGCAAACAGAAGTAATATCACAGATTTTTGTTTAGAAGGACCTCTAAAGGATTGTATTGTTCCTCTGGATGGCTTTATTTTTGTTCCTCCTTCCGAAATCCTCCTGTTCATCCTCCTAAAAGTCCCACTTTAAAAAGTTTGCAATCAGTTACTGTTGTGAAGAGCTAACAAATAAAACCAAAAAGCTTTAAAGATAATATTTTGCGAAATACTTAGCGTTATTTTAAAAAATTAAAAAGGCAATCACAAGTTGTGAAAAAGTTCAGAAGATTTGATGATTACCTGAGTGGGAAATTCTCATTTCTTATGTTTTGCTTCCAGAACAGGCACACTAAAGGAATGCTACTACAGCATTAATGTTTCTTTGTGCACATTTTACTGCAATCTGGCATCCAAAAGGAAGAAACATTAGAAGTGGTTTATTTATATTTCAGCACCAAATTAGAAAGATGACATCATTCATTTACAGTTCTTATCCCCTGACACTTCTAATCCCCAACACCTCATTACAGGCGACACTTTTAGGATTGCATATATCATCTTGTTTAACTTTTGCATTCTTTTATGGAATACAGTTGAAAGGTAGGAAATTTAAGGCTGTTCATTGATAAGAAAATAAACTAATAAAATGTTAGGAGCTTCCCCAAAGAGGCAGGATATTATAGTGTTTATAGTAAGTGGGTTATTATTTTTCTGTTAATTCTCCATCTTTTCCACTCTTGTTCTGAAAACCTTACTTCTTGAATCTAAAGGCAAACAGACCAACTAAGATGATTCAGATTGTGTTGATCTTTTGGCAAAATTGATAGAAATTCGTAGCTGAAATTCATAGGGCCCTATACTTCCATCTTCTTGTCTGGAACAGAGAAAGTAAAATGCCTTCAGCTGTGCAGAAAATAGTATTAAAAATGCGAAATGATACCATATAGTGTCACTTCAATTCCTGTCCACTTCACCTGTGGAGGCTATTTATTCTGTGATACACTGAGAAGAGAACATGCTATTTAGTGCTGTAGCGATGGTCAGAAGGAGTCTGACAATGGATGAAGCTTGTGCACGTCCAGTCTGTGGTTCTTCCTCTGTCTTGTTGTGGGTGCCTTAAAGTTTTGAATTGGTCTGGTTGTTTTGTTGGGTTTTTTACTTGAACAGAATACAGGTCCACTCCTGTAAAATGACTTTCTATGATCCTTCTAATGCACACGATGTTGAAGTGCTTTAGAGGCATTGTGACATTTCAAAAAAAAAAAAAAGTTGCTGAAAAGACACATCAGTATTTCCTGTGATCCCTATGGTTCATAATTTTCCTTGCATTGGATTTTGTTATACTTCAGATACTGTGTGATGTAAATATTTAGTTTGGGGTTTTATCCAAGTCTCTTTTCTACTTCAGCAAGAAAGATTAAAATTGTGAGTTTAATACTACTCTGATTTTTTACGTTTTCTATTAAAATATACTTACTAGTGAAATTTTCCTAATGGAAATTTTGATGTAGTATTTTTCTTATAGGAAAATCAGCTAACAGTAGTCTTGGAAATAAGTCTACCACATACTAGCTATGGGACTCTAGCTATCTCATGGGCGATTTGAGTTGGAAGCCACTTAGACTTGTTAATATAGGGACATACCTGAATAAATCAGTTGTGTTTAAATTCACATGTTTAAGTTGGTCCTTTAGAACTCACTAGTCTAGACAAAGTCCTGGTGTAATGTGTTTATCCAGCATCCTCACTGGGGTTTACCATGAGTCCTGCTACCTTGGAGCATGACTAGAACTAAACTGTGGCTTTTTGCAATTGATTGCGGTCTCTTAATCTCACCAAAAATGTCTGTGTGCAGAGCAGACTTGTTTTTGTTTGACCAACTCCAATGATGTCCCCATAGAGATTTGGCACAAAGCAGATAATGCTTCTTCAAGAACAACTTTTCTCCTATAAGGTTCAGGTGGGATTCTGGAAGATGATATTAAGTGTGTTAAGACTACTATCTTTCCTTCAGTCATCTGCATGAAGTAAGTTGTATGTGTCTGTGACTCTTCTAATTTTGGAAGAGGGATTTGAGAGTTGACGTAATTTTCTTCTAGATTTTGTTAGTGCAAAAATAAGGACAACTTCATTGCAGGTAAACAAGTTTGCTTGAGAGAGCCTTCAGACCTACTGACAAAAAATAAATATTGTATGTACTGATATTGACCAATTGGTAGTAAGATATTTTTTGTATTATGAGCAAGGTTTGAATTATTCCAGTGTATGTATTTTGTGATACGGAATAATTGTAATAGTGATATAGAGCAGCGATGTATTGTGTTATCTCATGGTGACATAGATTTTATTGCTTGTACATAGCAGTAGCTGAAGTGTCAATCTTTTTTTCAAGATCTGTATCAAAGTCTTATTTTCATTCAGTAACATGTCAAGTTCCATAATCACTTATTTCTCTAAGTGCCTGGGTCCGTGTCAGTTTTCAGATACTTTTAACTTACTGTTTAGCAAGGTGATCCTGGTACAATTAAAATAATAAAGCCAAGATAGTGTTTTTAGCATAACTATTCATGACTGTTGTTGACATGCCTCACTAGCTTACTAAATATTTGGAGTATGCTTTTAATATTCTTTTGAGTGAGAATTTACAAGTTAATTGACAAGACAGTAAGAGACTGGAAAAAAATAGGAAATTGTTAGAAAATCGTAAATTTAGAAATGTAGATGTCTTTCTTGACACCTTTCAAACACAACATCCTTGATCGTATCCCTTTCTGAGTTCTTGGTACATTTCTACCCATGTGAAAACTGAGACAGAAGATGTGTCCACATACTTAGTTATCTTTTTCTATTTCTGTTTCCTTTTCTTTGTGAGCCAGCACTCTCAATTTCTATTTCTATTGTTAGATCCTTACAGAAAAAAAAATGCAATCAAAAAAAAAAGAAGCTAAGAAAGAACTAACGAACTTCCTAAAACACAGTTAAAGTAATGTATTCCAGCATGTAATGGAATTGCCTCACTTTACATCTTAAACAGACACAAAACAGAATGAAACTGATGGCAGATAACTATGATGATGACCATCACCACTATCACCACCATCACCACCACCACCATCATCGATCCCCTGCGAGACCACAACACTCCAACCACAGACCCTCTCCAGATCAGGTTAGTCACCTCTTTTTTCACCTTCAGTTTTATAATTTTACTGGTTTGATATTTCAAGATAAAATAAATGTTCCAAATGTGATGTGTTCTTTGAACTGAAACTAATAGCTCTAGTATTTATTTATATCCCTGAAACAATTTAAACATTGTGGCTTTTTGTGTGGTGTCCTGTTCTTTTTTCCATATCTTTCTTTCAAAGTTTTGCAGTTATTTTCAGCATTACGTAACTCAACTTTTTAAGTAGAAAATCAGTGAAAAATCTCCTACTTAGTGATTACCAGTGATTATTAGTAATTCCAGAAAAATGCACTTTGGAATAATTTTTTATTTAAAGTAAATGGATTAATCATTAGTATTGAAAACCTGTGCAGCAGTTCCTTTTGGCAACTCGTAAACCAATGGTTTTACACTATTTGAAAGTATCTTTCTGTTGGAGCTTGCACATAATAAATATACCTTAAAATCAATAGTGGGACATTTTGACTAGGCAAGATAAACCAAATTCCAGAGATGTTTTAAAGTGCTTAGTAATTTGGTATTATTCTCTTTAGAATATTACTCTTCCTGGAGTCCTGTATTTCAGAAAGGGTAAATAACTGTCCTGATAACATGGTCTTTGAAACTACGTTTATTGAACATGCTAGTACTGAACTTTTTCTCCCCACCCAGGGTGAAAAAATATCCATAAGCCCAACGTTGTTTTACTTTTTTAAGTTACAGTATTTGTTTACAAATAAAGACAATTTCCCAAACATAAATATTTAAAATATTTAACTAATTTGCTTTCATTGTTAATATTTTAAAATATTAAGACTATAAAAGTTGAGAAAATTAAAATACAAAATGATTAAAGCAAGTTTACTGTCACATAGTTTCAAATTAGTATTTCCACTGTGTATGTTTGGAATGAGGAGGCTGTGGTATTCTGTGGTTTGTCATCAATCCGACACTGTTTTCTGGAATACTTTAATGTGTTTTTTTCAGATAATTTTGCTGTTAATAGGGAGACATTTGCTAAGTGTCCAGTATGCAAGCTCAGTACTTCTGGTTCATAGACAACTGGATTAAGCAGACACCTTGATCAAAAAGTTTATTGTTTTGATGTGTTTGAAACAGAAAATGCTGCACCTTTTATTTCTGGAAAGTTTAAAGACCAGATCCACCAAGAATAAAGTATCTGCTTTAGTTTTGTAGTTATACTATTGAAAGTAATGCTACAGTATTGCTATTAGTGGTAATGTTATGGTTATTTGTTATAGCTAGTTATCATTATAAAGTTATAATACTGAAAGCCAAATTCTTTAATTCATATGTAATTATATAAAATAAACATTATAATTGTGTATATATACACACCAAAATAATATTTAAAATTCTAGTAACGACTTTATCTTATCCTTAAAATACGCTTCTGCTAATTATGTTTTCATAAATGTTTTCTGAGGTGTCTGGTTCTGATAGTGTTAAAATTTTGTTATGGTAAAAAATAGTGTGTGTATGAAATGCTAAACCACAAGAAATACAAATGAGAAAGAAGCTCTAGCCTACTGCAGTGAGTGTGAGCTGAAAACTGTAGGGGTTTTAGGAGGAACTCAGTCATAGTAGGAAAAGGAGGAAAGTTATTCATTTATGTGTTTATCTAGAATAGAAGAAACTGTCAATAGAAGCAAGTACCTCTTTTTCAGGTAGAGAATCCTGGGGAAAAATAAAGAATTGGTTTTATATGAAGAATCATTGTTTGATGCTGAAGTAGTTTATAATGTGTAGGTAGAAATAAAAGGGAAAAACATTGGTGAAGTTACAACAGGGATGCTGATAGACTGCTTAATAGGGAGTAGGAGGCAAAGAGTCAGATGATGCTTTTTTAGTGTGGCAAATAAAGTTGTACTAAAGACAGGAAATGGTGAGTATGAGAAAACTTTGTTTCTTGGGTACAAACTAAAAAAACCTCAAACCAACAAAAAACCCCTGAGTGACAGAACACAGAAACCTTCAAGTTTTTGGAATATATTAAGAACAACCTTTTCTTTCAGAAAATGGAGAAGTGTATTAAGGACTTGCTGTCTTGGTTTTAGTCATGTTTCTGATTAACAGAGGTAAGTTGGCTGAGTTTATAAAAGAAGAGAAAATTATCTGAAAATGACCATGAAATAAAAAAAAAACATTGGCCTTGTGCAAGGTAAAGAATGAGAAAAACAGAATGAAGGCAAGAGATCTGAAAAAACAGGTAACAGCGTCTGTGTTACTGAAAACCAAACACTAGTTTCAACTAATTCAAGAAACCTGAACCTGTAAAGAAAATTTGAGGGACAAGTCGATGTAAAATGTACTGAAGATCATGCTTTTCAAGGCACAATAACAGGCTAGTCAGGGAAGAGAATGGCTAAGTGTCATAATGAAAGTCTATATCAAAGCATCTTCAAGAACTTAAGAAATTAAATGAATGATGAAGATAGGTACATGATTAAAAATAGAGCACATAAAACACTAGCTCTTTTACTAGTATTTACTCATAATAGTATTCTCAGTTTTACTCTGAACTCTTTATGAAGATATTCAACAGCTCTTGTGGAATATAGGAGATCCTTGGAGGCTTGAGGAATGCAGTCTTTACAAATAGAAAATAATGGGATTTATGAATTTTAGACTCTGGAAAGTTATGTGTTAAATTATTAATCAGCGAATAAATAGAAAGCCGGTAGTTTTTTTACTGTTCATTTCAGTAGCTTGATGTCTGTATCTAACTGTATGACGTTATCTGTCCATCTCAGTATATATCAGATCCCTTTATACTTGCTTCACCCATATCCTCTTTTCCTGGCCATCAACTGCTGGTTTCTGTCCTACACCAGAGAAGTTATTTTAACAATACATTCTTGAAGGTATGAGATTGTTTATCACTGTGTACTCATTTTATGCTTGTGCTCTTTCTTAGGTGACAGTTTGGGACCACTCTCTAAAAGAGAGAATTCAGGTCTAGATGGCTGTTACATAGCGTACCCCTCCTATATTTAGTCTTTCTGTATTTGTCAAGGACACATTATGTCAAGTGAATCTAATTTCCTTTCATAGGATAACTGGCTTTGTGGCTAAAGAAGAAAGTGATAGCTGTGACATACTTTGAATTCGTAAGACCTTTAACACTGCCCCACCAGTTTTTCATGTAATTAACATGTAATGTAAGAAGCATTATAATAATAAAAGTTGTAACTATAAATAATACTGTTTTAATGTAATTAATTATGACATCACCATTAGACGTGTGTGCAACTGATACAAATAACATGCTGCAGACAATTTTTCTGACACTCATTGTCAGACAAGAGAGAGAGTTACAGCGGTGTTCCAAAGAGGTCGGCCCTTTATCTTCTTCTGTGGAGTATTTTTTAGAAATTATTTCAGTGATGAAATAGAAAAAACCCATGAATATTGCTGGTAATGAACTAAGCTGCACAAAACGGCAGGCATAGTAGGAGTATTTGAACTGCTTTATAACTGCTCCAGTCTCATCAAATTGAAGGGCAAGTCTAGAAAAAGTAATCTTTCGGTAAAGACACATCTATTTACAAAGGAGAAATCACATGTAGTGATGAGGCAATAGCATAGAAAAAGAAATTTGGATTGCACAATGGAATACCATTGTGATGAAGGTGAATCTAATTCTGGCATGGATGTAACACTGGAAAAGAAGCAGGAAGCAATGATTCTGTTCTTTCAAGCATTGGTGACACCTCATCATAAAAGCTGTACACAGTTTTGATCACCATGATTTACAATAGACAAATTAGAAAGGGAGAAAAGGAGAGCAAAAAGAATGATAAGAGTTTTATAGAACATGACCTATGAAGAAGGCTTAAAGAACTGAGTTTGTTTAGTCTTTGTTGTATTATTTGCCATTCTGTACAGCATTCTTTTTTACAGCTATTGGATTGCCATGTGCCATTCAAGTCTTTTTGCTGCTGCTAGGGAGCAAAGTCATGTTTCCCATCACTTTTTGCCTTTATTTTCCCTTTTTTAAACTCTTCTCTTTAAGAAGAGATGCAAGTTAGCAACCTTTTTTTTACTCTTGTATGTCTGCGCCTAAACTCTGAGGGAGGTGTAAGGAAAACTTCACAAACAACAGGAAGACTCTAAGTCTCCTCTGCCCATACATGTTACTGTGAGCCCATGATGTTTTCCGTAGTACTGTTCATGCATCTGATTTTTATTCGATATAAATGAATTTCTAGGGATTGAGTGCTGCCATATCAATAACATTGCAATATTAACCATTTTTACTAGTCATAAAAAAAACTTGGAAAAAAAAAAAGATAATTTTTCAGCTTTACACTAAAAACTTAAATTTATTCTCTTCAGTTTTGGCTGGAGAGTTGGCAATCTTTCTTAAATTCCACCTGGAAACATTTTGGCAGTCAGTGTGTATCCTGGAGTGCGTTGTAATACTCCTAGCATGAAAATGAGCTTAATAAGCATTCTGTACTAGCTTCAGTTTCCAAGGAGTTGTAATATGTAGCCCCTTGTAGAGCGCATTACATTAATGTAATCTGGATCGTTGCATCCAAGATCTATGTGGAACACAAAAAAAGCATGGCTAAATAAATTTGAACTTCCAGATTTAGAAGCTATCCTGCCCCATGGTGCGGACTTCATCCCAAAGCCTACTCCCCCTGCCTCTTTTAGTGCTCATCTCCACATACTTACTGTTTTTTCTTAAAAACTTTTCCTCTTGGCCTCAGTTGCCCACATAATCTTTCAGTTTTCTTTCTAATATTGAAAACATTTTGAAGAAAATGTCTATTTGTGTAAAACAAGTGACTGTATACTCTTGAAGCAAATCGCTGTTACTGTTAAGTCTATAGGAATCAGCACAGTTGTATTCCCTGCCACAGCTGCCTCACTGTACCGCTTCTGCAGTTCTTTTTGTCATTTTTTTCTTGCTTTTAAGTTACTAACCAACAGGGATTTCTGTCTCACTAACCACAATTCTGGTCAAATTGAGA